GACAACGGCCTGTTGGTAATGAGGTGAGCACAGTTTCACATCAAATTGTAAAGCAGAAGCAAATTTTAAACCAATTAGTCAAATATAGGTGAGATAACAAAGATACAATTGTGCAGTTGTCACACATGTACATACGGTAAGTCACTAACATATAGCTCTTATGAGGAATCGAACCAGTGCCTCCAGTAGGATAAGCAAGTGCTATCGTGTAGCAGGAATTCGCATTGTCGCCACAGTTCTCTCACAGTACTGTGGCATGTGCATGCAGAGGATTAGAAGTTCAAAGATAAACAGCATGTTTGGACAACAACCCCTTCAGGCTTGAATCATGATGCACAATCTACTAATGGATGAAATTCAGATAGCTTAATTCCAAAGCACTGAATATCACATTCCAAGAAAGAAAATGAAGCAATGTGTTATTTTGTGCGAGTTTCAGAACTTAATTGTAATTAGCATGTAAGTAAATATTTCACTGCTGTGCTATCATTCATGTTCAATTTTGAAAAAAAAAATATCATTAGCTCGAAATCTGAGCAAACTTAATTTTTGGTTTTATTCCTTCTGAGAAATAAAAAGTATTATATTTACTTGCGTAAATTGCACACTATTTTTTAGTGATCTTCGGGCTCCAAGAAGAAGGTGCGCAAATTACACGGGGATTTCGCGAACACATACGAAATAAAGTGCAATAGTCTTAACCCGTGCAGTACAGTAAAACATCGTTAATTCGAAGTCACTGGAACCGTGAGAAACCTGTCAATAAAGCGGGTTTTTGAATAAACTAAAACATACAAGAAGTGGGATGCAAGGAACTTGAAATTATTCAAAGTATAATCAGAGCTGGCCATTTGCAGTACTGGCTAGTGTGCAGCTCCAAGGGTTATTTTTTGCAACATTACAAGGTCATAGTTTTCCCACAAACAAGGCAGAATGCTGAAACTCACTGCTGCAATCGCAAAAAAAAGAAAAGAAAAAAAAACGTCGCGATCAACTGAAATGGGCGCCTGCGAAAAATAGTAAGTCTTCATTGAAATACAGTGACAAGCAGGCAGCGTGTCGCTTGCTCCTCGCTGCAACAGTACATCATGATGCGACAGTACGTCATGATTCGCCCATTCTTTCTAGTAAAATAAACAATTTAATAATAGACAAAGTGACGAAATTCGCGACGACCTGGCTGGAAAACATGAGCACTGAAGCTTTCGAACCGTTTCTCAAGTTGGCCTTGCAGGCAAGAACTCCACCAGCAGTGCAAGTGCACAAGTTGCTGGAGCAACCAGCACTCAGAGGTTCATATACATCGTGAATTTTTCCAGGCTGTCCTTTATTAATTTCTTTGTATTCCCAGAAAGAATGGGCTGACATTGCAAAAAGCATGCGACACGCTGCCCGCACATCGCTGCTGTATTGCAGTGAAGCATGTATTGTTTTCCACGGGCGCACAGTTCAATTGATCACGAGAGGTTTTTTTTGTTTTATTGTTCGTACTGGAAATATTGAGGCTGGGGTACTCTAGCTACCACTCAGCACTATCAGTAAAGTACATTGCCTGGTGGCTCTTAAGGGCTCTCGTTTCCGCGGTTTCAGGGCGAAATTGGGATCAGGAATTGGTACACTACACCTAAAGTTTTCGAGTTAACCGGACTGGTGCTGACAGTCGCTTCAAATTATCCACTCAAACTTACATTGCGAAATACAGGACTACTGTAATACTTCAAACTGCACGGAATTTCGAAATCACCAAGCTCAAGTTAACAAGGTTTCACTATATATACATTAAAAAAAAAGAAAATAAGTTGGAGCACGAACGATGTGTACTGGTTTAATATTCAACAGAATCGGAATGTATTCAACACTCTGATCCGGTCATGCGCATTCTATTCAGAATCCCTGATCGACAGGTCTGATTGAGAATCATCGTCGCAGCCACTGTCACTGACACTGCCCTTCCAAAGCGCATAGTCCTCAGTTCCGTCGTGCTCGTTCGAATGTCCCATTTTCTCGTAACTCTTCTTGACAATGCTAGGTCCCCTGACACAGAAATACTGAAGGACCTAAGTGTTCACAAATAATTGAAAAGGCCTCTTTAATGGCAGAAAACTTGTATTAGCAAGCATGCACTCTTCTGCTTTCTCCAGTACTCCATCACATGTTGCCGAACTTCACGCTAAAGTCCTGGGCGGTGGCATGGTTCCCGTTTTCTTTAACAGCAGACTTTATAACAGCGACCTTAAATTTCGCCATATATATAATTATTGTAGCCCATCACAAGGGAACAGTAAAAACACGATGGACAGACGGCGAAACCTAAACTTCCAAAATCAACCAAGCGTGCATTGCTGCATGGACACGGAGAATGAGACTAACAAATGGCGCAAACAGGCAACAAGCCCTCACATGCTTCTCATCCAGAAAGTTGTTCGCGCCGTGACACAAGCATCCATTCTTACGGTGGTAGAGATGGGGAAATAGAGGGAGGTAAATGCTCAAACAGTTCTGGTGGCTCGTCAACAGGTTTAGGTGTTCGGCTATAGTATTCTAGAGACCCAGTAGGGGGAAGTCGTCGGATGAAAGGACTTCACACTCGCAGCCGGTTTGACTGCGCTCACCTGCTGTAAGGCATATGTATGCCGCACTCGTCCAAATCATCCAACATGGGTGCAACAGCCGAAATATGATTTGGAGCAATTTTTGGAGCAGAAAAGTGTTACTTTTGGAGCACTAAATTCCAAATTTGGAGCAGGTTACAGGGGAAAAACCCTCATGCATTTTTTATCATGAAATACATTATTTGGAGCAGTATAAAAAAGAAGGCTTACATTTAGAAAAAAAATATGTAAAAACCATTCAACATCACCCAAATTGTGCAGTGTGATAACGAGCACTGCTATTTCATTGAAAGTAGTATTTTGAACCACCCCGCTGAGCAAACAATGATAAAGTCCATATTAGCATTTGCTGTACCTGTAAAATAATTAAACAGACTCTACAAATTTAAATATCATTCTGCCAAGCTCGCAACATTGAAATATGGGAGATTCATAAAACTGAAGAATAGCGAAGGCAAAAAAAACAAAAAAAACTGGAGCACAATTTAGTTTGTTCTTTTAGGAAAGCAGAAATGTCATACATGCATCAAATAATTTACAGTAGCTTATTTAGACGTCGGTAATTATACTGGTACTCAGAATTGTGTGGCATACAATTGTGCAGCATAAGTAACTGAGCAAAGTAACTGAGTAACTAGCGCTAATAGTTCTTTCTAAATCTCAGCATGCTTTTCTGCAGAATACCGGTGTACTGCAGCAAAGCTGGCTCAAGCAGCATTAGAACCCAAAGCTGAGAAATTTTCTAACCGCTACATTACCACCCCACTTCCTACTTTTTTTTTTTCACCGTGTGGTTAGGTACCACTTCGGCTCCCTTGCAAGGGGTGTTCTACCAGGTATAGTAACAACAGAGCGTGCAGTTGGCCTGGCAGCGGTACCGAATATCTATCACCAGGACCATGGCAGGGACGACGCAACTTCAAGAAATGCCAGTGCTAAGGCAATCAACGTGGTCACTGGCAATGCCGGCGTTCGCAGCACATCGAGCTTATTCCCATAAGAAAAATGCGGCATACGCGTCTAGCTTTAGTTTTTAACAACAGTAGCCGCGTTTTCAGGCTAGGAAATTTACATTTCCCGCAAAGCATTGGTGGCTACAGCAACGCATCTTTGTCCTCAAGTTACGTCGTTCCGCCGATAGGTATCCGCTGCGGTCAGCAGATCGATGGGCACGCATAGTTGTAACTTTATCTGGTCTATTGAGTTTTGCGAGCGTAGAGCGGGTGCCTAGAATATTTTAAGTATATTCTAGGCCCTATACTTTGTGTCTGCACACTTTGACTGATGGCGCAAGCTGCAGATGGCCGACGTGGCCTGCATTCCTGGCCGAAATCAGCGCACCTGAAAAAAGATTTGAGACTGGCTGGGCATTTTCACGCAGCATGGCACAATTTCAGCGAACTTCATGGTTTTGGCACATCTTGGCAAAAACAATGGGAATTGTATCAAATTGGCACAATTAGCGGAACTCTTGCACCCCCAATCCAAAGGACCAAAGTCTCTTAGTGCCCGTGCCGGCTAGTTGGCTCGGGCGAGTCGCAGAGCAGAAAATATGCGAGTAAATTTTTTTTTTCTCTTAGAAAAGCTGGCAAAATGTTAGGGACGTGTAAATTATGCAACTAAATATGGTAATACTTTTGAGATTAGTCCTGGAACATGGCATGTCACATGACCCATCAAATGACCAAAGTGATCAGCTGCAGTCATACACACCACATTAACATAAATACATAATGACTATACAGAATCTTTAATTTATCTAATGAGCAATGCATCACGCTCTCTCTTGCCCACAAACTAACAACTAGCACGAACAAGTTGAATTCACAAACACAGCCACCTCTGAAGAGGATAAAGCAATGAAGTAGACCAGTCACAATCCTTTCAACCAGCCACGATAAAAGTTGAATAAGGTATGTACAATGCGCTGTCAGAATCGCTGATCGCACATAATTTAGATGATCACTTATAGGGTACTGTGAAAATGTTTTTGTATTCTTTCTTTTTTTTCTCTTAGCATTCTACAATTGCAATATTGGTTAGAGGTGTTCCGCATGAAACAATTTGCTGATGCTTCGTGCACTACATTTGATAACACTGCAAGCATAAGGTGTCCAAGCATTGTCAGTTTTATAACATCTTTCAGGTGTGAGACTTTGTTTTGCGTTTTAATTTTCAGCCAAATTTGTTGTGGCACGCACCAGTGAAACACCTAGCAGACACGACTGCCATTGCACAATTAGCGCACCATGTTAGTTCATCTTTGGTGTCTAAACAAGTAAGGGGCCCTTTGGGGCCTGCAAGAAAGTAAGCATGCCACTTGTGTGTGTATTTATCGAAGCAACACATGCTCAGGCTGCCCCACACAAAACACATAGTGGCACTAACCTTGTCCAAGTGTTTCTGGAATCTGTGCGCTGTGTCTAACCGCTGCTGCCTCTGCATGTCGAGCAACACTCGCAGCGTCTCCCTTGCTTGATGGGGCCTGTACTCATTGATCAGGTGGTGCATATGAATGAAAAGCAAGCTCATGTCCTCTTTTTTCTCGAGCCGCTTGGAAATGTCAGGACACCGGATCAAGATGTCAACCATGTCAAGGAAATTGACCAGCAGGGAATGATTCAGCTTCTTCAGCTCCTTCTTGTGCTCATAGTTTTGCGGGTATAGTCGCCGTATCCCTCGGCTTTCCAAAGGGTGGATGACTGGCTCATCCCCATGAAATGGAGCACCAAACATGGAATAGCCTGCGAAAGGTGGCAGCATAAGAGACACTACTTGACACATTTTTTGGAGGGGTGTGTTACATAACCACTGAAAACACATCAGTGGTCATTCATATTTAAAAACACATCAGTGGTCATTCATATTTAAAAGAAAGAGATAAAAGTATTACACAGTTCAATTAGTTTTCTGTATTTATCGAAGCGCTCTGTACAATCCTGTGTATGCATGTTTGTGCTAGCTGTGTTGACTGGTCACTAAAAAAGAGAAAGCTACATTAAGGTTTGCATGAATGAACTCCTTGCATAACAAACGAGTTTTTACGTCACTTAATTTTGCCATCTACTGTTCCACATAATCATTTTGCAGAAGCCACTACCACATTCAACGTGTTGTTTGACACGCCACCCTCTGTGAGCCATATCAACAGTAACATTTTGTTTTGCTTTTTTTTGCACACAAACAAATTGCACAGTATTCCTAGCTAGACATTTCATTCTACTTACCCAAAAATAGGACATCAATTCAAAATACATAATTAAGAATAATTACCATATTTACTACCGGAATTCATAGTTTTGCTTCAGAATAGATTCGAGGCACTAAACGAGATAACCGACGTTAGCATTGACACAATAAATGATAATGTTACTAGTATCATCAAAGAGTGTGCAACGGAAGTCAGAGGTACAGTCACTAGACAGGACACTGGCAAACTATCTCAGGAGACGAAAGATCTTATTAAGAGACGACAAATCATTAAAGTCTCAAATGCAATCGACAAAATAGAGCTGGTGGAGCTTTCAAAATAAATCAATAGGTGTAAGATAGCCGACGTCAGAAGGTATAAGTGGAGAGAATCGAGCATGCTAAAGAGCGGGAGAAGCCCAAAAGCTGTGAACGCAAAACTGTGCATAGGCAAAAATCAGATGTGTGCATTAATGAACAAGGAAAACAAGGCACTACCAATATGGATAGCATAGTTGAGGTAGCACAGCAGTTCTACAGCAGCCAAGGCAATCAGGAAGATAACATATGAAGCAGTATTAAACCAGATAAATCGACATCCCACCAGTAATGACAAAGGAAATAAAAAAAGCCCTAGAAGGGATGCAAAGAGGCAAAACCACTGGTGAAGATCAGGTAACATGAAACCTATTAAAAAAGGGTGGAGAGATTATAATAGAAAAACTAGCCACCCGGTATACGAAGTGCCTCTTGACAGAGGAGGGCTACGAATATCTAGGAAGAATGCAAACATCATCTTAATCTGTAAGGAAGGGGATGTCAAGGACAAGAAAATTTACAGGCCGATCAGCTTACTATTGGTTTTCAACAAGCGCTACTAACAAAAATAATCACTAATAGAATTAAGATGACATTATAGTTCAATCAACCAAAGGACTAAGCAAGATTTCGTACAGACTACTCAACAATAGACCATATTCATACTATCAATCAGGTTATAGAGAAATTCACTGAATAGAACCAAACCCTTTACATAGCTTTCATAGATTATGAGAGGGCGCTTGGCTCAGTCGAGACATCAGCAGCAATGCATGCACTATAAAATCAGGGCGTCGAAGAACCCTATATAAGCATACTGGAGGAAAGCTACAGCAGATCCATGGCCATTATAGTCTTTCCACGGCTGCTGGATGAAGGAGCGTATGGGTACGGCCTGCCGCGTGCTCCAAAACCAGCGTGACAGGTCTAGTTCCCGAACCGCCGCTGCGGCGCCGCAGGGGGGGGGGGGGACACTTTTCGTGAGCGCCTATAAAATCGCACGCGCGGTGCGCTTGCGGTAGTTACTATTGAGCGCGTGCAACTTTGTGTGACCCGCGAAATCTTGTTTTAATAACCGTCTGGCAAGTGCGCACCAGGTAATTATCGACCTTGATTTTAGATACCTGCAGCCTATGCAAAATTTTGGTATTGTCTTACCCGAGATGGAACCTTGCACACCGATCAGTTTTCACGGAAGTAAGAATTGTGAGCACATTTTAATCAGATCCTACAAGATCACAACTAACAGATCTGGAAGAACTACATCTTTCTAATGCATCTAAATTAATTATAGTAACTGAGTATGTAGCTTTAGAAAACGTTGTTTCAGATTTAATAATTTCATTCAGAATATGTAACCTCAACAACTGTAGTTGCCATTGTTCCTTTAACACAAAACAAGATAGACTTCTCACTTCCTCCAAACACGTCTATAATATTCATACAATGCAGTATCAGATGCAACAGCCACGAAATATACTAAGCATGTGTGCGATCTCATAACAGTGGACTCAAGCCTCCTTGAAATTTCAGTGACTATAATTTCAATGAGCGAGCAGTTCTCAAGTGAATAATATTAAAACTGTGAGACGAAAAGAGCGGTGAAATGCTGTAAAATGCAAACACAACTGCTCGCATTCCTGCGCTTTTGAATGTTTTCGTCTCTTTCCATCCCGACGTTCTTATGATAATGCAACTAATTCAACAGTGAACACATAATCAGAACAAGATGCGTGAAAATACATTATTCTTCATTTAGGGCTGATCCTGGCATTCTTAATATTTTTTTTTACTTCTTTACGGTTTTGCATAATGAAACGACTTGATGATTGCTCCAGCTTGTGTGCCCAACTTTGGCTTCTGTGTCAACAAAACCATCCGTTCGGTTTTTTCATGTTAGCCTCTCCACTGGAGAATGCCAATAGCACTCCAATGCCCTTGTCTTCTGGTAGTCTCCGTCATGCGGTTCTGTCATCCATTATTGTTTATTTGTTCTACTATGTATCGTCTACAAATAGGCACCTGCGCTCGCTCAAACGAAGGCACGTCACGTGCACTTGACTGCCCTACAGCAGCCATGGTTTTGCGATGTGTAAACATAATAAAAACGTAATTGTCACTTGACCCGGCCGTGTGTGTATATATATATATATATATATATATATATATATATATATATATATATTGCCTAGTAGGAACTATCAAGAAATTTGAATGGCACTTTGAATGATGTATACTTTCGCAGCCTCTTCAATAAAGTTACGAGGAGCGTGTCACCATGTTTGTAAAAACCACTTTTATCTAGCGTTTGAAGCTTAATCACTTTGCGGCACACTACCGTGTACCGGATAACATGAAAAATATTGAAATTATATTTCTTCGATATGCTTTCAGATTATAAAAACTATGAATGTCTATTGTAAAGTGTCCAAAAATTAATTGTCAAGCAGTCCAGCTGAGAAAACACGAAAGTACTGAATAAACATAACAATAATCAAAATATGTTAGTTTAAGACATCTCCATAAATAGAACAATGACTTTGTCAAGCATTCAGTGCCATATCAGTCAGCTACATGCATTGTGGAATTTTCTGTCAGCCTCGGAGCAAGAAGCTGGTTCTAAAAAAAAAAAAAGTCAGGTGCTCAGCACGCACAGAAAAAATCAATTGGCTTTTTAACTATATAGCGCCTCATAGTCTACTAAATATGTGTTATGTCATCGCTGTGATAAATGTGATTAAATAAACACTGATTAAAACAACTGAGTGGGTCACTGTTGTGACCAAAACCAGCTAATTTGCTGCGGCGGCTTCCCCGAGGGAGCCGCCGCCACTCGTTTCCTCGTCCCTCTCGTCCCCGCCCCGTCACGCTGCGGTGGCCGCAACTAACCCTACGGCTGACACGTGCTCTCCCATAGAAAGCCGCTCAACGCGGCAGGCCGTACCGTGCGCTTTTTCATCCAGCGCCCATGGTCTTTCATAAAGAAAGCCACAGAATCCCAATAAAGAAGTGTTTACAGGAGGTTTTCAGAGCGCTAGAATAGGAAAAGTTAGGAATTAGAGTTCATGAAAAGTACTTAAGAAACCTGCGATTCACAGAATCCCAATAAAGAACGGTGTAAGGCAAAAAGACGCAATCTCTCGAATACTATTCACCGCATGTTTACAGGAGGTTTTAAGGGCACTAGATTGGGAAAAGTTAGGGATTAGGGTTATTACAGAGTATCTTACAAACCAGCAATTTTCTGATGACATTGCATTAATGAGTAACTGAGGGGACAAATTACAGCTCATAATTACAGAATTGGACACTGAAAACAAAAGAATACACCTGAAAACTAAAGGAGCCCTGATAAACCTTTTCAAAAAACCATAAAATGAATTCATTAAAATAGCTTATTGCCTGACGAATCCAACGCCACAAAATTTTTAAAATCTGTCCAGTACGAGCGAAGTTACAAAGATTTGTTGCATGCTGCAATCGCAATCTTTCTTTTCATGTCCCGACCAAAGCGCTGGAAGCTAAGAAGGAAAGAATGACATGGGCAAAAAAAAATGTGTCACGCGTGCCTCGTGACCTTGAGCACTTTTTCTTTTTCTTCGAATATGCAGCTTTTTACAGCGAGATCGTGCACACACGCGTAGACAAGTTGCGGCCTCTCGCGACGATCTCTGTAACTACCAAGCTCGCCAGGTTCAAATCAGCCGATGGCTGATAAATGGCCTTCTACGAGTGATGTTTGAGCTTCCTTCCTCATTTGTCAAGAGCAGAGAAAGCAATTTTCAGTAGACTGATAAATTATTGGGAATTTCAGACTGCGTGCTGCGCTATAATATTTGGCTCCCGTGTTCTTGGGGGCCTCCAGAACTGATCGGCAGCATTTTCTGACTATGCTCAAAAAGTGTTGCAGAGCCAATATAATATGCGTAAAACTAAAGTAATGTGCAAAAGTCTCGGCAGAGAACCGTGCTTTGCAATAGGTGGAGACACGCTGGAAGTTGCAAATAAATATGTCTACTAAGGACAAGTAGTAACCATGCAGCTAAATCATGAGAGTGGAATAACTAGAGGAATAAGATGGGGTGGATCACGTTCGGCAAGTGTTGTCTAATCATGAATGGTAATCAGCCAATAACCTCAAAAGTAAGGTACATAACAGCTGTCTCATACCCGTACTTATCTAAGGAGCAGAAACCTGGAGGCTCACAAAGCGGGTTCAGCTTAAATTGAGGACGAC